TTAATTATGTGTATATAATTCAGAAGTTCACGCAAGTGAGGAAAGTTTTCTGATCGCCATTCACGTGGGAGTGGCCAGAAACGATTCTTTTACATATGACTCAAGCAGCTCACGACTTCTGGTCCTTGACCAAGTATCCTCTGGGTAGCCTAAGAACATCCGTTTGAAGGTGAGCTAAAGTGAGAAGGCGAAACATTCCCTGCATAGGGTTGTGCGCTGGGTTTGGGACCTGCCACGTAAAAAAAACCACCCCAATGAAAACGCACCAACAGCCTCGGATGAGAGACCCCACTTTTGATGACGACAATGGCAAACGAAATAAGGACTACGAATTGAGGGCATGCACCTGGAATGTCCGGTCCCTTAATTGGGAAGGTGCCGCGGCCCAGCTGGTTGATGTCCTCGTAAAAACAAAGGCTGACATCACCGCCGTCCAAGAAATGCGATGGACGGGACAAGGACAGAGACGAGTAGGTCCTTGTGGCATTTACTGCAGTGGCCATATAAAGGAGCGCAAGTTTGATGTGGGATTCGTGGTGGGAGAGAGACTCCGTCGCCGAGTACTATCATTCACCCCGGTGAATGAACGTCTAGCAATCTACAATCCGCATCAAAGCGAGGTTCTTCAACATATCGCTGATTTGAGCCCACGCCCCGACGGAAGAGAAGGACGGTGTGACCAAAGATGCCATTTATGCATACTTGGAGCGCTCTTATGAGAGCTGCAACCGCCACGATGTCAAAATAGTGCTTGGCGACTTTAACGCCAGGGAGGGCAAAGAAGGTATCTTTGGCACTACGGTCGGTAAATTCAGCCTCCACAAGGAAACATCCCCAAATGGGTTGAGTCTGACTGACTTCGCCGGAGCCCAAAATATGGTTATATGCAGTAGTACTTTCCAGCACAAGAAAATACATCAAGCTACCTGGCTGACTGCGGATCGGAAAACCACCAACCAGATCGATCATGTTGTGATAGACGGAAGACACGTCTCCAGTGTTTTAGATGTGCGTGCACTGCGAGGTCCTAACATAGACTGGGACCACTATCTTGATGTAGCGAAGATTCGCACGCGCCTCTGTGCAGCAAAAAACGCACGCCATCAAACGCAAGTAAGGTTCGACGTCGAGAAGCTGCAATCACAACAGACAGCCGAACGATTTTCTACTCGGCTTGCAATCCTGCTCTCTGAGAGCACTCGTCAACAACTCGGTATAARGGAACTGTGGGACGGCATTTCAACCTCTTTACGTACAGCCGCAACCGAAACCATTGGTTTTCGGAAAGTACAAAAGAACAGCTGGTACGACGAGGAGTGCCGTGTCGCAGCGGAGAGAAAAC